GTGCATGCACAGTCAACTTTAAATTGTTCAGCGCATGCACAGAAACATGCTGGCAATGGCAGGTGAAACCAGGGAACTGGTTCAGGGGTGTGGCGAACCTGGGTCATTGCCAGTTCTGCGACTCAGGCCAAATCACCACTACCGGTTCAGCCAAACCAGGCCAAACAGGGATCAACCCACCTCTAATTTGATAGCAGGAAAAAGATAGACTCTTTAGAAGTGATGGATGAGGTCAAATGATTCAAGGTAATTTTAAAGAAAACTAAAACTGAGTGTAGCCAAAAATAGATCTTTGGTCCTATGATATTTATTGGGGATATTTTTTTTCTCCTCTTAATATTCAGCCTAAATCTGGCTTTCTATCATTTAAATCCATTACTCTATATTCTGCAAGGAGAGAAAAGATGTACTGATCTTCTTCAATATGATATTCTTTAAAACATTTGACTAATGTATGCTACTCCTCCACCTGACATTTTTTCCCAAGACTAATCTATCTAACTCCATCATTTTTTCTTCATTGGTCTTAAAAATCACCCTTGTTGCTCTTCACCAATCATGTTTTAATTTCCTTGAATCTTTAAAATGTAGTAATTAGAACAGGATATAGTATTCGAGATGAAATCTGAACCAAGCAGAATAAAATAGAACAATTTCTTCTGATTTAGAAATCACAGGTATACTTATGTTAATGGAATCTAAAACTGCATCTCTCCTTTTTGCAACTGTATCATATTTATTTGCTGCTATCCCAAACTCTTAATAAAAGCATATCTGCAGTTATACCACATTGCTTAGTGGGACTGTCGAGCACTTTGTATGAGTTATGGCATTCTATTAAGAAACAAGGATGGACATTTTAACAAAACTTAAGGTCAGGCATTTGCTGGTGCATAAAACTCTATGGGTCTATGGGTTATATAACTTGCTAATTCACTTGGGTTAGCATAAATAACTTGCAAGTATGCAAATTTGAAATTTAGGGTAGAAAACAACTGTTTTTCAGATCTTAGCAGAGGAGCCAACAAATTGGCCTGATTAAAAAAAGAGGAGGATCTAGGTATAGAAAACTAGAAAATATGATGATGGACCAAGGTAAGGCAATAGAAAATTTGGTGGATCAAAAAGACTGGATAATCACAAGTCAAAATCAGTGTAATGTACATTGTACTCTAAGCATCTTGACCTATTAGGGATAGGATAGGCAAAACATGAAAAGATATAAAAATGCTGGTGGGGGAGGAGCCAAGATCACGACGATATGGTCGTGCAATCTCAATGCTCTGAGACCGCAGCCAATACTTTTGCCGCTGGGTGGTTCAAACGGACCTAAACCGTCCCGAAGAGACTGTGAACAGGAAGAATACTTCTTGCTGATCTCGGGGATATCGCAAAATCCCTGAAAGAAGCAAGAGAAGTTCTTCAAGCCGGCGGCAAAAAATCCAGCCAAGGCTGACAAAGTTGGGGCGGCTCCAAAACGGAAGGATACAGAAAGAGAAAGTATTTCCAGCTGGTGAGGAACTTTTACTGTTTTAAAAAGAGACTACCTATAAAAACTTAAAAATTAATTTAAATTGAAGAATAGAAGAGTCAAGCGGCGGAATTAAATTTGGAATGGTTTTGGACAGTGCTTATCTTACTTTTTAATTGCTATCTTCATGGATGGAATTATTCAAGCCTTTTGAAACGGATGGATTAAGTTTTCTTCTTCCACCTTCTCTTTATGATTCTCTGTAATCTATAGGCTAAAGTTTTCCTCTTTCATTGCTATGGGTATTGTTCTAATTCATTTAAAAATTGGACTCCTTTTTTTAAATTTAAAAAAAAAAAAAAAAAAAAAA